GCGTCATGGATGCTGGCCGCAGTGACCATGGTGGTCGTGATGTGGCTGCTGCTGTTTTACTGTGTGTGCATGTGTGTCTTCTCTCTTGTTCATCATTTGCTTTTGGTCTCTCCTACTGAACAGCCGCAGCTCCGGAGTCCTGCCCCATAGACATTGAGGAATAGGTATGACATCTACCAAATTGTATAACTGAACAAACCACTCATTTTATCTGGGGTTCCTAACTGAACATTCTTTGCCTGATACGCTTCCCTCCGCTCAGAGTGCTGCTTGCCGATAGGAGGAAGCACCTTTGACTCATGCTGCAAGTAGCAAATAGCCCAGGTGTGAAAGACCCTGTCCCCCTCCTCTCCTGGGGCTCCGCTGTGGACTGCTACTATAGCCGCAGGAGAAAACCCCCACACCAGAACACTCGTGAGGAATGAGCAGTTGGCAACTGTTTCATCTTAGCACGTTTGCCATTAAAGGGCTTTATGTCATGAGCTTGCTGAATCTGAGGCTGACTGACCATTTGTAAGCTGGTCTCAGCACAACACTACAGTTAGCTGACCTCACTGAAACCCCCCCCCCCCCGCCCCACTCCTGCTGCCACACACCTTTCTGAGCTCCAGGGTGCAGAAGTAGTTCCTGCAGAGATTTGTCTAACAGCCCATGAGATGAAGTCCCTTCCCTAAACATGCCAAGCTCGGAAAGAGTAAGGCCTTACCCATCATTGTATAAAGAACACACTAGCTCTTCTAGAGTGAATGAAACAGAGAGGTAACGTGCCAGCTAGATGGCAGCCAGAGGGACGCAGGGAACACATGACTGTCCCTCAAACCAAGCTGGCAGGGAACTGGCCACAGCACATTTCTGAGTCAGCTATGCTGCTGGGCATACTTAACATGTGACCACATGCAGGCCTCACAGCAAACTTGTGAGGGCCACACTCACCTCACTGGTGATAGGAGAAAGCCAAGGCCCTAAGTGACCTGTCAAAGATCAGACCCCTGGTACCTATGACTTAGGGACGAGGCCCAGGTAGGTGCAATGCAGATGTGAATGTGAGCAGCAAGAGCGAACACAGGAGTTGGTAGGCTGCATCAGAGCAGACGCAGAGAGATAGCAGGGATGACTCTTCCCTGTCGGCCCAGTGGCAGCCATGTGCCGACACATGGGCTGGGAGCAAGGGAGCCCCGGGTGCTCAGGTGAGGAAGAGATAAGCAGAGGTATAGAGGGGGGCTCTGAACACCACACTTTGTCCTGCCCAAGGCGTCCCTTCCCTGGCCCTGCTATGCTGCCAGCCCCCTCTCACCCCCTGACTCCCATAGCACCTCCCACAGCAAACAGAGGCTGTAGGTCAGAAGTGTGTTCTTTGCACATCTGCTTGGCTCAGCCTTGTAACATAGGCAAAGTCTCAGAACCAAGCACTTAACATGCAAAATGGATGCTAGGTAAGTTCATGAACAAACATGTCTGTCCGTCTGTCCGTGGGTCACAGGCCATGGCTAGTTAGGGAAGAACAGACCTGGAACATGTCAGCACCTCCTTCCCCTGCTCTTCCTCTCCTGAATGACACACTCGGGCGTCTCAGGTTACACACTAGATTCTGTGTTGGCTCCTGTGCTGCCCTGCTGGAGACACCATGTAGACTTGATCTATTACGGCTCCCATAGCCTTTGGTTTTCTTCTCCAGGTACCTGGCAGCATGATGATAACATGGTCAACCATCACAGTGCCCGGTGCCGGCACTTATCATCTAGCAGCCTGGAGGACGCGGACCTGGAGGAGGCAGACGAGAACAGGCCTGGTGTATGGGATCCTTTGGCTGTCTGAGACCTGGACCTAGGCTCCCCTCCTGTCCTTGCGTTCCATCTGTCCTCGCTGGACCACAGGCCTTCTGGGCATCTTCAACAAGACATGTGGACTCTGTACTCACATGGAGGCAGGATGCGGAGAGCAGCCTTCTGCCATCCTCATCTCCTGTAGTCATGATCCCTCCCTCTCAGAACCTGAAGCCTTCCTGGTGTGGGCTGATGCTGCTCAGTGAACTATAACACAGCAGCCAAGCCCAGTGGGCCGGTTGAGCTGAGGGATGTTCCTTTAGCCTCCTCTCCTCTGAGGAGTGACCAAGAAGATTGGAGAGTTTGGGCAACTTTGTTTCAGACTCCCATGCACAGGTTCTGGTCACTGGCACCTCATGACCAATTAGAAACCTAACTTGAAGTGGTCGGGGTTTGCTCCAGGTGGGAGGTCATCTGCACTCTGGCCTCGTGGAGCACCAGGAGTTCCTTTCTCAAGCCTAAAGGAGATGGTGGCAGCCAAAGAGTTGGTTGAAAGCCAAATCTGCTCACAGCCGTTCTCCTGTGCCTCCTGTGCCCCCAGCTAGGATGTCACCCTTACAAGGCCTTGTCCTCCTCAGGTGTAGTCAGGAAGGCCTGCTGGGCCACCCCTGTGTACAATGCTAGCTAGGGCTGACCATCACCATAGCTCATCTTCACTGCAGCCATTGAGAGGGAGTCTCAAACCCAACTACCCTTTCTCCACCCCCTTTTAATAGCTGAAAAACTAGGCTAAGCTGTGGACCAGTGGTTCTCAACTTGGTGCAAGGAACACCGAGGCTTTGAGGCCAGCTGCAGGATCACCTGGGGACCAAAGGATTAGAAGACCTCCCTCCCCTAGTGCATTCCTCCCCTACCTTTGGACCTGATGGATGAAAGGGCATGGGCTCACCAGTGCTTAGAGGTGCCGTCCAGGCAGTGCTCGGACAAAGCCATGGCAGCAAGCTGGCAGGAAGTTGTTGGGTGTCCCAGCCTTTTCAGCTCAGTGGGCTTCACATGGTTCATAGATGCCTGTTTACTAGCTTTTGGAAAAGGTAGTTGTTTAGTGGAACTTGAGATGGTGTGGGATCAGCTTTAGACTTGACAAGTGTGCTCCTACAAAAACTTTAAAACACCACTGCCCAGGGTCCTGGGGGGGGGGGGGTGTGTGGAGAGTTTGCCCTCGGACTTGCTGCCGTAGCTGGGGTGACCTTGAACTTCTTGTTTTCCTGTCTGTTCTGCCCAAGCATTAGGATTACAGGTCTGGGCAGCTCTCCTTGTGTGTGGTTGCAGAGGCCAGGAGTTTGGAAATCACACTCCTAGAGGGAGGCTGCTGTCGAGCACGAGGTGCGAGAGACTGAGTTTGAGACCCCAGGCTCCCTTTCTGAACACTCTGTGGACTCTGCCATTTCAAATCCCACTTGATGCCCTTCCCCCAGCATTCTGACGACCCCTTCAACACTAAGGTTTACACCAGTAAAAGCTAAGCAATAACCACACTTCCTCAAAGAATGAAGCAAGACCAGGGAAGTCCCCTTAGCATTGGGGCAGTTGCACACAGACCCACTCCCCTGGCAGGCAGGAGGCAAGCAGTATTCACAGTGTGGTGTGACCTGGAAGGAGGAGGGAGGTAGCCAAGATGAAGGAAGTTCAGGTAAACAGTAGCCACAGTGGCCAGGAACTCTCAAAAAAGAAAAAGCCATTATGATCAGCCCTTCCCCCTTCCTCACAGCAAGTGCTCAGTTGGCCTAAGCCCTATGAACCAGTATGTAAGGCTAGAGCGCCCATCACTCTGCCTTGCTCTTCCTGCCCCCTCACACTAGCCTACCCACAGGGGTGGACCTCCATCAGCTGCTACACTCAACACGGTCCATCATTTGCCTGAGAGTAGGGTGGGGGCCTTCTCCTTTAAGGCCTTTGGCTCCTCACCACGCCACCACCTCATTTTTCTTGCTCTGGGTTCTACAGTGATCTCAGTATCCTCAAAGAGCCTCTTTGCTTTACCTAATTTCATCCCTCCCAGAGTTGATACCCACTGGGGCATCTCCTGGACCCAAACACTAAGCCATCTATTTCACTGGGGAGCTAGTCCTGTCTACCTGGTGTTGGCATGCTGGTTGCTCACTTTTAGGGCCTGCACGCCTGGTGTGTGCAAGTATGTGTGTGTGTGTGTGTGTGCTGTTTGTGCCGTCTGTGTGCCCTTCACACTCCCTGGAGTGCACTTGTTGGCACATTACAGTGGGGACATCAAGATGCAATATTTATGGATTGCTGCATGATGCTTCAAAATGAATAAAACTGTGTACAAGGGAAAGGGGGGCTATTAACCACGAAGTAAGTTCATTTGTAAACGAACGAGCATTCTTCAGTATTTTTACTTGTGTGTGGAGGAATGGGCAAGGTATACTCTAGAGTACCAGACAGAAATTTCTGCATGATCTTGATGCAGAGCCTCCCGCCCAACTCCCATTTCTAGCAGAGCTCTGTCTGCCCCGGCAGTCGCCTTAAACCGGAGAACTTCCAATCCTGCAGCTCCTCAATAATTAAAGCACCGCAAAGCTGGTGGCGGCAGGGAAGGCGAGGACCCTGAGTCCCTTATGCTTCTTGCTTCCTGTCACTTAACCAGTTCCTGGCTAAATTAGCAGAACAAATAACCTCTCTGTGAGGCTGTGGCAGGCCATGGCTTTCCTGTTTTTATCCACTGGCACTGCTTTCTAGGCTGTCTGGGAGGAGAGGCACCTCAGCCGATGCCCCTGGAATGCCGGCGTCCGGGAACTTGAGCAGGGCTAGTGGAGGAGCTGCTTACCGGGAGTCGCTGGGTTACCCTACCCTCCTCGGTGTGTCTGCGAGCTGTGTGGCCGTTTCTGCGGATATAAGCGACAGGTGGCATCAGAGAGTCACACACGTCTGCGGGCACCAGAGAAGACACTCAGGGACCAGGGAAAGGTCTCAGAAACCAAACAAAGGCCACTGGCAGCCCAGCGAGGGAAAAAGACTCAAAAGGCGTGGTTCCCGGAGGCTTGGTCTCCAGAATCCGGGGCTCGGTTCCCGCAGCGGTCATACCGGACGTGAGGGGGAGGGGTTCCCGGGGCCTCGGGCGGGAGCCGAGTGCCCGCCGTGCGACCCAGCGCGGGGCTCTCGGGCGGGAATGCACAGAACCCAGTCGCAGTGGCGGGTAGGGGGTTGGGTGGCGCGGGAGAGGGCAGCAGAACGAGGGAGTTCCAGAGAGTTGCCGCCAGAGGAGCAGCAAGGGCCCGCGGTCTCCTTGGAGACATGTTGGCCAATGACAGCAGCGGAAGCTGTTTATAGGGGCGGAGCGTCGCCATGGCAGCAGGAGAAGCCTTCCGAGCGTCTACTTAATGCCGGTCCCCGGGCCGTCGGCGCTCAGAGAAGCGCCGTCGGGCGAGGGGGGGGGCCGACGAGGGGCACCAGCAGAGCCCTCGAGCTGGGGACAGAGAGCCGCGGGAGGTGGGAGGAACTTCTTCCAGAACCTTCCTCTGGCCCGGCTGCGCTCTGAGCCAGGTAAGGGACTGGGCAGGGCTGTGGTCCACGGAATGGGAGGGCGTCGGGATCTGCTGACTAGCCATTCCATCGCTCGCCCACGAAAGTGGTGGGGCCGATGACTGAAATCTGAGGAGTTTGGGGGAGATCGCTTCCTGCCTCTCCATAACTCGGTCCTGTGTCCTTCCTTTCTTTCCGGGGACCCTTCATCCTAATACTGCTTTCCAAGGATCAGATGACCTCCCCTGTCCTAGCCGCGTCGCACTGCCCTTCTGGATTATTGGGGTGTGATCGTAGTTTGCCACTCTTTGAGAGAAAAGTTAGATTGGGCCTCCCTACCTTCTTCCCTCGTTGTCGCCAATGCCCCCTCGAAGGGCAGATGGAGAGAGGTAGAGACAAGGGGTCTGACCCTGACCTCGCCACAGGCTTCGAGGACGAATTGAGGGGTTCCCCCTAAGGCGCACCCTTTCACCTAGGGGTCGGGGAAGAGTGCTCAGCTCCGCGTTGCTCCCGCAGGCCCCACATTCGTATTCGGAGGAGGCGACCCCGCGGGTCGCGGAATGGAAGTGAGTGTTCTGGAGGCTGTGTAACTGAAGCCTCGGGTACCAGCGGGCAGGAGAGCGCGGCGGGCCACTCGGCTCAGCCCGTGGATGTTGACCGCCCCCTCGGAGAGACCCCGCAGATATGGCGGAGAGCTGGCTGCGCCTCTGCGGAGCAGGGCCCGGGGAAGAGGCCGGGACGGAGGGCGGCATGGAGGAGCCGGATGCTTTGGATGACAGCCTAACTAGCCTGCAGTGGCTGCAGGAATTCTCCATTCTCAACGCCAAGGCCCCCACTCTGCCCCCGGGAGGCACCGACCCCCACGGTTACCACCAAGTGCCAGGCTCGGTGGCACCCGGGTCACCCCTGGCTGCAGACCCAGCCTGCCTTGGGCAGCCTCACACACCTGGCAAACCCACGTCGTCCTGCACATCTCGAAGCGCGCCCCAGGGGCTGCAGGCCCCGCCCCCCGACGACGTGGACTACGCCACCAACCCGCATGTGAAGCCTCCTTACTCCTATGCCACTCTCATCTGCATGGCCATGCAGGCCAGCAAGGCCACCAAGATCACTCTGTCGGCCATCTACAAGTGGATCACGGACAACTTCTGTTACTTTCGCCATGCGGATCCCACCTGGCAGGTAGGGGAGCAAAGGTGTGGGTGGTGGCCACTCCCTCCTCACTCCCGTAGCAGCTCCACAAGGCCAAGGAGGCACCTGGCTTTGAGGTCAGGCCTCACATGAGAGGGCCCCTGTCAAGTTCTGGAAATGCTCTCTCCTCTTGGAGCCAGGGCTTTGGGGGTACAGAAGTTGAAGTTTTAGGGGAAGAGGGACCAGTAGGGCACATTGGTTCTGCAGGCCAGGTGTAGCCTCCAATGAGGACGATACTATAAAGAACACTCTTGTCCTACATCCCAGAATTCCTAGACACAGTTCTGACCAAGATGCTTTGTCGGAACTGGACTCCAAATGGAACGCAGGTGGCCTCCCTGCCAGGTTCTGCACGCTGCCTTGTTGCCTTTGGTCTCGAGAGTAGGGCAGAGATGAGCAGGATGGGCGTGAAGATCAGTCATCCAGGCGGAGGGGTCATGAGATCATCCTAAAGCCACTGACCCAGCCTCCCACCTCAACTCCTCCCCAGTTTCCTGCCTCCACTCCCCCCCCTCTCAGCCAGCCTCCCTTGGGGGGCAATTACCTGAGCTGGGTGCTTTCCACAGAGGCACTGCTCCTGCAATGGCTTTGGGTTCCAAGTCTCTGGAACCTGGCACAGGGCAGCCAGTGGGCCCAGGCTGCCGTGTAAACACACAGCCTCGATGGTCGAAGGGGCACTCACCACGCACCTACCTGCCTTGCTAACCTAGCCTAGGATCCTGAACACCGGCATGGTGTGACCAGAACTAAGCAACCAAATGCGAGCAAGGCAAGATAAGGCCAAGTGGACTCTGCTTTAGCCGGCTTTCAAGAGCAGGGTTCAGGTGGTGGAGACAGAGGCCTAGGGTTGCCCGGTCTCCTCTGAGGCACCCGAGGGCAGTCCTGAGCCGTTCCAAATGGCCCTGGCCCTGGGTCAGAAGACCCCCATCCTCTCCCTACTGAGGGCTGGGCCAACTCAGGCCCCAGGAATGAGCCTTCTGCACTTGGCTGGGTAATGATCAACTGAGGGTTGGGTGGGAAGAGAAGGCCGTGGGGGGTGAAGGCCTAGGCCAGCAGCTGGCACAACAAACAAGCAGTCACTAAATGTCCCACCGCACTAACACACACACACACACACACTCCTTTGTCACCCAGCCCCCTCCCTTAACCCACTCACTTCACAAACAGAGGGAACCAGCCAGGCAAAGGGAGATGGCAGTCCAGGCCGTGGGGGAGCTGAGGGCTTTGGCCAGGACCTGCAAGCAGCAGGGTAAGGGAGGGAGGGAGGGAGGGAGGATGACTGGGGTGGCACTGAGAGCCACCCTGTGGCTCAGAGCTCGGATGACTGAGCAGGCAGATATCCCAGCAACAGAGAACAAAAGCCCCCCCTCCCGGCAGCCCCCTCTCCCCACACTCCGGGCTCCTCATGCCCTGTGGCTGGTGTCCCAGAGTCCTGGAGCTACAGCTGCCTGGGCAGGGGCATCGGGTTGATCCATCCCTAGCCAGTCAGAGAAGAGATGTGGGGAGCATGCAGGCGGGCCGGTGCCACTCCACCGCCATTCCGCTGATCCCCCTGTGTGTTTTCTCTTGTTCTCTCTCTGTACCCAGAATTCCATCCGCCACAACCTGTCCCTGAACAAGTGCTTCATCAAAGTGCCTCGAGAGAAGGACGAGCCCGGCAAGGGGGGCTTCTGGCGCATTGACCCCCAGTATGCAGAGCGCCTGCTCAGTGGGGCCTTCAAGAAACGGAGGCTGCCCCCGGTCCACATCCACCCTGCCTTCGCCCGCCAGGCCTCACAGGAACCCAGCACTGGCCCCTGGGGTGGGCCTCTGACCGTGAACACGGAGGCCCAGCAGCTGTTGCGGGAGTTCGAGGAGGCCACAGGGGAGGGGGGCTGGGGCACAGGAGAGGGCAGGCTGGGGCATAAGCGAAAGCAGCCGCTGCCCAAGAGGGTGGCCAAGGTCCTGAGGCCTCCCAGCACGTTGCTGCTGACCCAGGAGGAGCAGGGTGAGCTGGAACCCCTCAAAGGCAACTTTGACTGGGAGGCCATCTTCGAGGCTGGCACTCTGGGTGAAGAGCTGAGCTCCCTGGAGGCCTTGGAGCTAAGCCCCCCACTGAGCCCCACCTCACATGGAGATGTGGACCTCACTGTCCACGGCCACCACATCGATTGCCCTGCGACCTGGGGACCTCCAGTGGAGCAGGCTGCTGATAGCCTGGACTTTGATGAGACCTTCCTGGCCACATCCTTCCTCCAGCACCCCTGGGATGAGAGCGGCAGTGGCTGCCTGCCCCCAGAGCCCCTCTTTGAAGCAGGGGATGCCACCCTGGCCGCTGACCTGCAGGACTGGGCCAGTGTGGGTGCCTTCTTGTAAGAAGAAGTCAGGCCCCACCCCATCTCCGGACAGTGCCCAAGTCAGGGCCCAGACTGCCTCCCAAAAAAGGCCCAAGGACATCTCAGCACCCCGGCAGGGACTGGGCCAGGTCTCTGAAGGCTGGCTCCGTGAGGCCACACTGCTGCCAGCTGGGGGTGTCCTCATATCCAAGCCCAGAAGACTGGGAACTGGGGACCCAGGACCAAAACTGCTGCCTCCCCCTCTTCAGCAACCCCCATATACACAGTGTTCCATTGACCTATGTCCCCCCAAGCCCCCAAACTGGCAAAGGCACGCCCCTGGCCTCTGCACTGTGAACACTGAAGCCTGCAGGGGTCATGCCAGGCCAGGGAGAAACTGAACAGGGCCCTCTTCAAGGCTCTGCTTCTCACCCACCCCTGCTGCTTCCCCGGGTCTCTACCCAGAGAAAGTTCCCAGGTACCAACAAATGCTAATTAGACAACGGCAAATTAACCCTCTGGAGGCTCCTCCTGGCGGAGCTTCCCCGGGGCCCTGGCAGCCTTGGCTAGGGAGAGAGGTGGCAGGAGACTGGGGAAAGGAACAGAGAAGACAGAAATAGGGAGGGGGCAGCAAGGTGGGGGTGACATGGTCTCTATGGCCTCTGGGGCCTTTTCCCTGGCCCATCGCTGGCAGAGAGGAGGCTGAAAAACGAGATTGAGGCTGACTTGAGGCTGAGAGCAACAGGAAGTTGGGGTTCAGGGTGGTTGGGGCAGGGGCAGCCAAGCTGCTAGGTGGGGGGGAGAGACTAACGTAGTGCATATAGCTATAGCTAAGACTTAACTGGGAGGGATGCCCAGCTTGCTGGGAGCACTGGAACCAGGAAGGAGACAACCCTATGCCCCCTGTCTACACTGGGGGAAACCAGGTCTCGCTCCACCCTGACCCCTGGGGCTGGTATCCATATCTACCCTCCATGTGGGGCAATTTAACCTTTTTCATTTAAAGTTCTTTACGATAAATTTTTTTTTTCAAAATAAAACTTTTAAAAGCCTGAACATGGTTCATCATTCCAGCTTTTTTGGGGAAAGGCAGAGTCAAATGTGGTAACTTCGAGGGGGGGAAGTTGACATATTTCTTTCCAATGTCAACCGGGAAATAACCAAAAAATGGGGCAGAGAAGATTTGTAGAAGGTCTCCCCTCAACCTAGATCCCTAGGGAAGAAAGGGCCGAGGGGTGGCTCTCTCTCAGGAGCCCTTGTATCCCACACCTCAGTACCTCCATCCATAACAACGGAAGAGCTGGGCCTGCAGGCCCAAAGGAACAAGAGACAGAGAAAGGTCAGCGCCACCCCTCCCCAAGGACTCCAAAGGCCACTGTATCCTGGTTCAAGCCATCCCCCACCACGAGGGCCTGCCCAGGCTCGCCTGCCCAAGAGTTCCAGGACTCCCTCCAGCACCACCCTCCCTAAGACCTTTCCTGGAGGGACAGACAGGGCAGGAGGTCAGAGGAGCCTCCCGTCCCGCTCTGACGTGTGTTTACCAGACCCAGCCTGATGCAGGCTTGGGGTGGCAGGAGCCCACCTTAAAATAAGGCTCAGTGCTGAGACTCATGCCCACCCCCAGACTGTGAAGTTCCAGGCTGCCGGAGTTCTGACAGTAAAACCAAGGCACAGGGTGTGTATGTCCGGGTGGTCCTCAGGCTGTCCCTTTCAGTCCCCTCACTTCAGATGTGTTTGCCTGGGACCCATTTCCCTACCACCACTACCTCACTTTCCCCTGCGTAGGACCCTCGTGCCCGGCCCCTCCCCGCGAGCAGCTGTCTTGCACACAGGTGCACACACAGGAACACACACACAGAGAGAACAGCAGCACCCAGTGCTGTTCAGAGCAGTCCTGCCTGGCCTCCATGGGCCCCTCTTTCCCCTCGTCCCTTATTCCCCTTGTCCCTCAGTCCTTGAGTCTGGCCTGAGGCCAGCCTGGCATTCCCCTGCAGAACACTCTGTTTTCATTTGCTAATTATTCCAAATATTCCAGAAGGGCTCACACACAGCAGGCAGGCGGGTTGGAGCCTCCCAGAGCCTATCCCTTCACCCAGCACACAGGAAAAGCCTCTGCTCCACACCTCCCTGTGTGTCTGCCCATCACCTACCCCGCCCCCCTTCCTCTCTCAGACCACAGCACTAAAAGAACAAAGGCTCTCCTGCCTTCTCCTTAGCCTCTGGGATCAGCCTTCGGTCCTGGCCAAGGTGGGCACACCCTGGGTTGACGGTGGGGCGAGTTACTGCCTGCCCCAGCCTATACTGGAAAGAGAGGCAGTGTCTGGGGCAAGCAGAACTGCCCCCTGGATGAATGCAAAGCCAAAGACTAAAGTTGCTGCCTGGCAGAACGAGGTGTGCCCTCACTCTGAACTCCTGAAGATTCTGATGCTCAGGCTGTACCCTGGACCACTCAGACTAGAATCTTTTTTTTTTTTTTTTTTTTTTTTTGGTTTTTCGAGACAGAGTTTCTCTGTGGTTTTGGAGCCTGTCCTGGAACTAGCTCTTGTAGACCAGGCTGGCCTCGAACTCACAGAGATCCACCTGCCTCTGCCTCCCGAGTGCTGGGATTAAAGGCGTGCGCCACCACCGCCCGGCTCAGACTAGAATCTTGAATGGTGCCCAGCACTGATTTTCTAAGTCTGCACGTACTGCGAAGGCTTGCCCTGAGGGGTGGGGGCGGCACCCGTCTTCCCCAGAGCAGGACGGTGGAACTCTTTCTCCATTGCTCTCTGCCTAATTCCCTTGAGACAGAGTCTCTCACGGAACCACAAGCTCGCCGTTTTGGCTAGGCCAGTCGGCCATCAGGTTCTCCTGCAACGGACCTGCCTCCCTCCCCAAGTTCTGGAGTTACAGGCGCGTGCAATAATGCCCAGCTTTTGCCATGGGTGCTTGGGGCACATACTCAGGACTCCATGCTTACAAGGTCAAGCCCTCTTACATCCCTGAGCCATCTCCCAAACCTCTGCCTCTCATTGCTTTATAGATTCAGCGTGGGTCCCCACCAGTGAGGCTAAACGGAGTATCACTGAGCACTAGCTAGCAAGCCCGAGGCCCATGATCTCTAAACACTTCCGCATGTGCCTCCCTAAAACTAGGAGATACGCATGACCCTGCCCAGTCCACAGAGTTGCTCCAACCGTCCAGGACACTACCAGCATCACCGTCTTTCCTGACTTCCTCCGTGTGACTTCGGGGCAGGCTCTTCCTTCCGACACACATGTGGTTTCGTGTCTGGATTTTATTTATTGGCTTATCTGAGGCACCGTTTTGCATGGCTGCTGGTATGTGGATATTTTCCTCAGTGGTATATAGGTCCCGGTTTCTTCACAATGCTTAGGGGTTCGTTTTGTATATTTTGATTTGCTTGTTGTTGTTCTGGGGCTTGGGCTTCTGACTTCAAACACGTCAGGCACGCACGCTACCACTAAGCTAGATACTCAGCACACAGAGTAAGTTTTTATTTTGAGACAGGGTCTCACTAAATTGCTAACTCTGGCCTTGAACTCACTCTGCACTCCACACAGGCCTTGACCTGCGGCCTTCCGGACGCAGCCTTCAACATGCCAACGACGCCAGGCCTGTGCCACCAGCCCAGCTGCCTGGTCTTTAGTTCGAGGCTTCAAACCCCTCTTTTGCAGCCACCAGTCCCTGAACCCCTCTTTTCTTTCTTTCTTTCTTTCTCTCTCTCTCTCTCTCTCTCTTTCTTCTTTTCTTTTCTTTTTTCTTTTTTTTCTATTTTTCAAGACAAGGTTTCTCTGTGTGATAGCCTTGGCTATCCTGGAACTAGTTCTGTAGACCAGGCTGGCCTTGAACTCACAGAGATCCACCTGCCTCTGCCTCTCAAGTACCACCTGTGCCACCATACCCTGCTGAACCCCAGTATTTTTAAGTATTTGGGAAAGCTGTTTCTCCAGTCCCCAGACTCCCAGCCTTTCTGGCTTCTCTTTCCTCCATGCACCCTCTCCATGCCAGCTGGGAACGTGGCAGGAGGTGGGCACAAGAGAGGACCCATGCTTTGAGCTTGGGGGCGTCCCATTCTCTCCCTGAATACTTAATGTTCTATAGGACAGGACACCTTGGGGTCCAGTGACTCTCATCTGGAAGTCCCCAGGGAAAAACCTAGATGCTCCGCAGGACCGAGCTGGATCCCCACCCCCATCCCTGGGCAGCGCCGAGGGAGAGGGACGGGAAGGAAGTAGGGATTGGGCAGGAGTCAGGTGCAGCTCAGGCTCCAACCTTGGCTGAGACCCAAAGGTGAACAGGTGTACATGGACTCCAGCAGGGGGTGATGACTGGCCCGTGGGGCAGGCCTGGGCCTGTCCTGTGGGGAGTGAAAGTACAGCCTTATTAACAATGGGATGGGACAGCAGCCCAGGCCCTGCAGACACATTCTTGTGTGAGGAGAAGGAAAACACAGGTGACACCGGAGGGGAAGATGCTGGGAAGGGGAGGGGACTCTGGGAGGCCACCCAGGCCAGGGCTGTGCTAAGTAGTGTGAGCTGCTGCTCAGCAGGAGAGGGAGTACACAGAAGTCCGCGGTGGGGGAGGGGGCGGGCTACTGCCTTCCTCCCAGGGGACGTGTGCCCACTTCCTTTAGCTTCTTCCAGGTGAGGCAGGTCACAGCCACCTGGACAGGCGGGCAAGCTGGGACCTGAATGTTCCCTGCGTGCCGTGCGTCAGAATCAGGCAAAGACACCTCAAAGGACGGTGCCCAGAAGCCAAGGAGCTTCGCAGTAACCAAAGAGGGACAAGGAGGGCCTTCTCAGCTGGTCTTTCCAGCCCCTGCTGTCCTAACCGCATGGCGCCAGGCCCCACCTGCTCTTCGGGTCATAGCACCTCTATCTGAGCCAGAGAGGACGTCTGAGTTCTGAGGCCCCAGGTCCTTTGCCTGGGGTAGCTCTGCTGAGCTCCTAGAAAAGCAAGCCCCCCCCACCGGAACCAGACAGGGCCTGCTGCTGCCACCCCGTCAGCCCACCCTGGCTGTACCCACCTCTGCTAAGGCCTCCACCCTGAATGTACCCAAACTGATCTTGGAAGCTAAGCAGGCCTGGGCCTGGTTAGTACCTAGATAGGGGACTGCCTGGAATACCAAGAACTTTAGGTTTAGCTGTGTGTGGTGGTGCACACCTGAGGCAGGAGGATGTCTGTGAGTTTGAGGCAAGCCTGATCTACATAGTGAGCTCCAGAATAGCCAGAGCTATGTAGAGAGAGCCTGTATCAAAACCAGCCAACCAACAACCAACAGAAAACCCTAAACCACCAGCCACCCTCCCGGCATTGCTGGTTGTCCACGGAATTAGCTGGGACCAGGAAATTGCCAAATGTTCCCCGCTTGCCCAGCTCTACCCATGGGCTCTATCTGTGGCGTAGAGTGTTGAGGATCCCTCCGACTTGCCTTAAGCTAACAGTACCTGAGATGAACTAGGTTAAGGGGAAGTAGGGAGGGCAAAGCAGGTTTCAGACCCCGCCAGAGTCTGTTTCCTATGTCCTGTTCCTCGTCAGCGAAGTCCTGGGGATAGACAACCTGCCCACCCTGCCCAGTTCTACACCGAAGGAATAAAACACAGTGGTCAGAGTGCTGAATAACAAATGAATAAATTATGAATTGTTGGGGTGAAAAACAGCAAGGGAGCCTTAGCAAAATGCTTTTGGTAATGCCAAGGGGTTCCCGGGGCACAGACTGAGTTTAGGCACACCCCCAAAACTTTGGAAGCTGTGACTTGACTCAGGGGTGTAGAGTCTGGGGCCAGAGCACTCAGGCTCAGGGAGAATTTGGAGGCTAGCCAGCACTGCCTTGTTAGAGAAGAAAGAAAGAGACTCCTGCATATTTGGGCTCCTTAACTGTGGAAGAGGCAGTGGAGGCCTTGAGTGTTGACTGAGGTCACCGTGCCCAGAATCTGTGGAAGATGTGAACCAGGTGAGGAGGGAAGAAAAGACATGAAAGGCCGAAAGGCGAGTCTGCTGTACGGGAAGCAGCACTCAAGCTCCCTCCATCCAAACCCGTA